CCGATGGGCCTTCATTCCAGAAGCCTCAGATGATTCCGGCTTGGAAGTGAGAAGGCAGGGCACACATCAACGAGAATTTAAGCCTTATGTGGTACGACTGGCAAAGCTTCTTCGAAAAAGGGCAAAGGTATTGCGTTCTTGTGTTTTTGTTTCATCACTACATGTTGCAGTAGTGAGGTATTTATTAAATACTGCCTGGGAAACTGAGGACACTATCAAGTTGAGCTACTTCAAACCAAGGACCCAGTGAGCCTAATAATTCCAGACGTTTAGAAAACACATTGAATGTATTTTAAAGGAACATGTGGTTATATGTTATTTTTTAAAGAGAAGAAAAAAGACGTCTTTTGTACATTAACAACATCTACCTTAAAATATTTTCCCTTCGAAAAGAAGAAAAACATTGGAACCATACGTGTAAGTACTTAACATTAAATGATTTTAGTCCTAACCCTACATGATTCTCATGACAAAGTCTTGAGAATTTAAATACATTCATGATATTCATCTTAATACCATAATGAGAAACAGGAAAATATGACTTGATTGCGAAAAGTGCAGTACGAAAAGGGATTTTTAAAACAAGCCTGTCAGATATGTTTTTATAGAATGAGTCATGGGTGAGATTATATATTTTAAGTTTTTTAAAATGTAGTCATATTTCATCAAAATTGAAGGAGCAAGAACAACTCAGAAAAACAGAGGGAACAATCACTAGCATTCATTCTGTTTATCTGAAATTAACTGTACATACTAACAATTCATTTTCTCAGTCCATGTCTTTTGCTAATTATGGCCTAACAGTAAGAAACGCATTCCGTATTCTGACCCCGTACAGCTATATAACAGAATCTGGGTTTCTCACAAGACAATTCTTGTCCTTAACACGTGAGACATTTTCTTTCTTACAGTTCCTGTCTTGATACTGTTCATAGATTTCAAGAGCCTCCACCTTGCAGTTGTTAAGACACTATTCATAATTAAACTCTATGACTCAATGATACAAAGCATCTACTCAGAGAAATTCTTCAAGGGGAAAAGTGGGAATTTACTTTAGCCAAAAATAAAGTGTAAGAAAATAAAATAAGTAAAATATATTTGTGTCTTATGTATTTTATCTTTCAGTATGCATCATGCTAATTTATTACCGCTCTGCCCAAGATCAGAATTGGCACATTCACCATTGGGCATTAATCTTTATTAATATTCTGTCGTCTTTCACATTCAAAAAATTTCAAAAGTAAATTGTACAATTTGGGGTGATCTGGGTTGTTTCATGAGACCTACTTTGCAGTATGTGCTTTGAGTTCTCAGAAATTTTCCAGTCTTCTGGAGTCCCCTAATCAGTTTATGAATTACCTAAGCTATAGCAGTAAAATGTAGGAAGTGATTAAAAAGGAGATTCTACGGGAAGGAACTTCAATGAGGAACTTGATTTTAAAAGACCAGTTGCTTCTGCGGGAGCTAAATAAAAGGATAGAGATGAGGATGAAAGCTGGGTGCAGAGCTGAGGATAAGACTTGGTTGGGTACTTCACTTTCATAGCACAGGTTTGGGGAAAAAATCCTGATAGCAAACCCAGAGGAGTATGATTCTGCATGCCCCCACGCTCAGAACCATTCTGTTATCCCTGCACCTCATCAGTAATGAGAATTTTTAAACAAGGCCCCTCCCTTACCTAAAGAATAAATGACACTCTTTTGCCCAAAATTTGTCCCACAAAATAAAAAAACTGTCTTGTTTGGAAGGTATATTCCCATCCAAATCACTTTAAACAAGGTCTTCATGGCCAAACACACGTCTCACTGGAACAAAGGCTGTGAGTTCTCCTCTTTCCTTCCACAGGACAAGGAGGAGGACTTTAAGACAGTGATTTTGGAGGGATTGGAGATGGCCAAGCATCAGGTGAGGGTGGCTGTTTGATGCTTGTGATATGGCAGCAAAAGCTGCCACATCTGGCCCAAAAAATGAGACATAAACGCAGGTTTGGATTTCAGCAAGTCCGAGAGTGGTAAACAGGAAGGAACTCTTATTTCAAATGTAGACTGGTAAAGTCAAAGGAGAAATCGTTTGCATGTTTGACTATCTGATTTACTGAAGGAGATACGTATTGAACAGCAGAAACACTCAAACAAGTGCTTCTTGGTCAGGGGCTTACTAAGTCTACCCCCCCCTTTTGGTTAGGGGTCTCACTCTGTTGCCTAGGCTGGAGCACAGTGGTGTGATTACGGCTCACTGCAGTCTCAACCCCTTGGGCTCAAGAGATTCTTCTGCCTCAGCCTTCCCAGTAGCTGGGACTACAGATGCAGATCACCATGCCCGACTTCTTCCCCGCCCCCCCGCCCCCCCCCCGTAAAGACGAGGTCTTGCTGTGTTGCCCAGGCTGCTGCTGAACTCCTGAACTCAAGCAATCCTCCCAACTTGGCCTCCCAAATTATTAGGATTATAGGCATGAGTCACCACCTCTTAAAGGCACATCGTGGTGGGAATACAAATGAAAGGTTGCCCCATAATTGTGTTCTATTTGCAAATTAGCGGTAGAGAGGGTGCAGGTGTATTACTCATTTTCCTTCAGGATGAATTCATCTCTGTTCACCTGTGACTGTCACTGACCTGCAGTTTGCTTGAGGGGACTCGAGGTGGTGCGGTCAGCTAGTACTGGCCATGATAAAAACGTGAAAGTCGTCACAGGACTCCTATTTGTGTCAGTGGCACTGCTAAGAGAAAGGAAGATGGCTTTGTGTATCCTGCAATCTAAACCAGAGGTTAAATAATCGCTAAGAAGCAACGATAGCTGTTGGGTTTCTTGATTTGTTTTTGACTAGAAATAAAGAACTAGGTGTTCTTTTTCTGATTTGCTCCTGGAGTCTTCCATTTTAACTTAAATCTATTTTCCTTTCTCAGGATTTCACTTTAAAATAAACAAGCAAACCTTGAGGGCACACGTAGGAAACTAAGCTGGATTTGCATCTGCTTTGACCACTAGGAAAAGTTTCTCAGCAACATTCGATCTTGGAAGGCAGAGATCGGAATTCTGCTCCCTAAGTCTTACTGGATGCGTTTCTCTTTATTCAGTCCAGTTCATCCTTTGTTTATTGTGGTGGATTCTGCCCACGTTCCAACCTCAGTTCTTTCTCTAGCCAGGATGATGCCCGTAGCGGTTTAATTCAGTGGCTTTTTTAACTCATCACTTGACACACAGATCGCGTTTCTGTTTAGTTGACAGCTGCACAGTGCTCTCACTTGACTTCTCTTCGGAAGCACAGATTGGGCTTTTCCTTTTGTCAGCGAGGAGCCCTTCTGTATCTCACCCGCGGATGCCCATGGTTCGGCAGAGCCGGTGCACCAACCCGTTCTCGGGACTGCAGGGCCGGCTCTCCGGCCCGTGTTGCTTAGCACAGCCCGGGCGACAGTGTCTGTCCGAGGGGGCCTCCCTTTCTCGGTGCCGCAGTAGCAACAGGAGAAACTCACTTTGGACCCGGCGACCATCATGGCACGTTTCAGCCATGTGGGTAAGGGGGCACTGACTGGTTTACTAATGGTGAACTGTACACAGCTCTTTGTCTCCTCCTAACTTCTTCTGTCACCATTTTGTGACCTCATCCTCGGTTACACTGGTAAGAGTCCGGAAATCTGGGAGCTTGGTGAGTAGATACAAAGCACGTCACCAAAACGGGGGTTTGGCTCCACCCCCGTTCAAAGCCATCTCTGCTTCCTAAGCTTGTCTGTGCATTCCAGTTGGGAAGTGCCACCGCACTGTTAGGTCCCCCGTTAAAACCAGCAAACGGAACCAGAAGGCCTCAGTTAGAAGCAAGGGTTTGAACCCAGTCAGGAACGGAAACGTCCTGTGACCTGCGTCCGTCTGACGGCTGGTGCCTGCCTCTCTTCTAAGCTTTCTAACATACTGCTTCGTCTGTTGATATCCATGAAAACTGCCTTTGTGTCTCCTGCAGAAAAACCCAGAGGAAGACCCCTCCGGGAGAACGCTGGGCTGGGAGCCGGGACGCCTGCTGCTCACCGCCTGCACCGTGCGCAGCCTGGAGCAGCTCCTCCCGTTCTTCAGCGTGCTCAGCCAGGTCTTCAACAGCAAAGTCACAAGCCGCTGCGGAGGACACTCAGGGAGCCCCGTCCTCTGCTCAAACGCCTTGCCTGGCAAGGACGTGAAACTGGAGAGCCACAAACCATCTTCCAGCAAAGCCAGGCAAAAAATAGAAGAGATGGTAGAAAAGGATTTTCTGGAAGGGGTGATAAAAACGTGAGCACCACCAGTGATTCCACTGATCTTCCACGTAAATGTAATTATTTAAAACAAACACAGCTCTGAGTTGTATAGTTTCTTTTTTTGTATGTAACAAAACGAACTTCGGGTTGTATTTAATTTAAATATCTGTAAATAAGAGCAGATGTCTGAATGTGGCCTGAATCAAGTTTGAATGTTGTTGGCGCATCCTGATGATGGTGCCTAAGAGAAAGAGCTATGTATACATATAGAGTCCATTGTTTTTATTGTCCTGAGTTGTCTTAAACCTGCAAAATACACACTATGGCCTTTTTTTCTATGGGTTTCAGGCTTGGTTTAATTCTCGTTGGTTGGGTATTTTTTTCTTTCCCTTGTTGGCCATGTTCTGGTATCAGAATGGTATCACTTCTCCGTCAGAGGCTGGGTAATGTATTACCACCAGCGTTTCTTCCACATCCCTGTGCATGCTGTACTTGACTTAGGAGGGTGCAGAGTCCAGAGTAACTGAAGCCTGGACTCTGCACCCTCCTAAGTCAAGTACAGCATGTACATCTCCACCTCAGTGCAGAGGATACGGACCAGCCCCTGTTCACGCCCCTGAGTGAGTTCCTGATGATGTCCATCGGACAGGTGAGTCACATAACAATCATTCTGAAGACTCTGCCATGCAGTCTTCTCCCCCCTCTCGATTTGTATCGACGGCAAATGCTGCAAAAGAACATGTTGCTGGGGACAGTGATAGCAATGACCGCACAAGGAGTTGGTAGTAAGATTTCATTTTCCAACAGCCTGCTTGAATTGTTCCCTGCATACAACCGTAAAGTTAGTGATTGAATCATGTACTTAAGCCCCGTATTTTACATTAGTGAGACTAAAATTAGAGGTAAGTTTAACAAGTATAAGGCTTACTGTTTCTAGAGAATTATTCTGGTAGTGTTTAAGAAAAACAATCTCAAAACAGTCCAGTAAGGTGCACTGTAAACATTGTGATTACAAAGGTCTTAGTACTGCCATTATTGTTGAAAGTTCTGTAAACTTTTTTAAAATCCAGCTTCTCAGGAATATAAAAATTGTCTTCAGAAAACTGGTTGGGGTCTTTCGCCAATTCCTCCAGCCAGCCGAAATACCGCCAAGCTCACTTCGTATGCAAGACGATCTGCACTTTCCTGCAAATTACATTAAACAAGATTAAACGAGAAAGACACAGCATATACTTATTATATGTCACTTGCAACTCTAGGGAGGGAAGGAGGTGTCCTGACTTTGTTTCACTAACAAATTTGAATGAAAACTTTTTTCTTCTTTGTCCAGTAACACATTCCAAGGCCCCTAAATAGATGGAAAAATGGGTCAAATTCTTCCAAATAAGGTAAGTTTTAAAATCAATTTAGATAATAAAATGAATTATCGTTCCAAAACTCTGAATAAATTCAGTAAAACCAAGTCCCTTAAAGGCACGATGGCCCCAACTGGCCCAAGAATGAGCCAGGCTCGGTGGCTCAGCCTGCAATCCAGCGCCTTTGGGAGGCTGAGGTGAGTGGATTGCCTGAGCCCACGGGTTCGAGACCTGCCTGGGCAGCGAGACCTCATCTCCACAGTAAATCAAAAAATCAGCCGGGCGTGGCAGCGCATGCCTGTAATTCCGGCTATTTGGAAGGCTGAGGCGGAGGGATCGCCGGAGCCCAGCAGGTCGAGGCTGCGGTGGCCGGGAGCAGCCGCTGCACTCCTGTTTGGGCGACAGAGTAAGATCCAACTCAAAAAAAAAACCAAGAATGAATTTACTCTCACAGCCTCAACTGCATGCTCCTCATCCATCAGTGACGTTCGTTCATTCACTAGATTCGGGGAGGGCCTACGGCTGCTAAAAAGCTGCCAGTCCTGTGAAAATCAGCTGGGAATGTCTCCTTCCAAGTCCCTGTCCAACCCACTTGCTGGACTTTGCCCTGGGCCACACTTTAAGGACTGTGTGAAGAGGACACTTTATAAAATCCAGACCTCAAGACTTGACCCTACCAGGAAAACAGCACAGGCACAGAGTAAGGCTGTCCCTGAAAGGAAATGCGCTGAAAAACAGAGTCCAGAGTCAAAGATGAACGGTACCAGTGGATTTAGAAATGTACTACAAAGCTGCTTGTTTTCATAAAGAGACAGGGTTATATTTTAAAGGACAAAAAAAGATGAGCCATTTCACAGTGCATAAACTAAGTACTTCTTACTCCTGCCACGGTTAGAAAAATGATACTTTCAGGATGTCTTGTATAAATCAGAAGAAAAATATTTGGGGGAATAAACTAAGTGGGTCTAATTCTGTGCAAATATTTTGTCAACTACTGCTGATAACGATGTAGTCTTAACATGAACCCGAAAGACTCCATAAGCCAATCCTGAAGACACAAAGCCTCATTTATCACAGTGAGATTCCCAGCACAGGTTAAACATGAAAAAATCATTTCCTTTTCTCTCCCTGTGTTCCTTCCCATCACCTCTCGCCGCAGTTTCTCAACAGAACTCTCCTGGCTTACTTGGGAGTCTGCCTCTGCGTAGACCCGGACGACATCTTCTGTGCCAGAGGGCCGGACAAAAGCTCGGGAAAGCTTGTATTTCTTCACCAGGTCATCGATTGCCTCCTGCAGGCCTGGAGGTGTAACTGCTCGTCTCTCAGCATCAGTCGTGCTAATCACTTTCCTGTCTGCCACCTAAGCACAAGCATTTCACAGCCGTCACACCCGGTACTCCGTTCAGAGGCTTAACTTGTTCAACATGCACATAGTATGATCCCAGATTAAGTGTAGGATAGAGCACATTAAAGTTTTCTATGTTTTGTTTCTCCATGGTTAAGGTTACTAATTTCAACATTTGAGCAACATTTTTCTTTTTCTTCAGTCTGTAAGGAACTGCCTTCAACAAAAAGTTCCAGCCTGTCTTACAACTAGTTGCCACTAAAATAAAGGCCAGTAATATTCTTCCCACTTTGGGATATCTGCTAAATATGCCAAAAACTAATCTGCGCAATCAACAGCCATTGCTGTGAACTCTGGCTTTGGTATTGCCAACTGTCTTGTACAAGTTCTGTTGGTGAATGTGTAAACTGGTATAACTCTGAATATAAAGCTGAATAGAACTCAGTTAGCAATTTATCCGAAATGGCTTTAAAAAAATTATCTCAGCATCTAGTAGTCTGTGAACCAAAAATAATACAAAAGAAATATTTCTCTCTTGAAATGCAGGCGATCTGGGTTTTGCTTCAAAATAATACCGGGGCGGCATGGAAAATACACAGGGCACCAGCTGACATCTGCTGAAGCTGGGGACACTGCCACATTTATATCTACCTTAAATTTTCCATAACAATATATTTTTAAAAGTGATCCATGGTCATTCAAACACTTCTCAAACAATAGAATGGTGGAGTAAATGAACTTACAGTTATCCTGTAATTGCTTAAAGCTGTCAGAAAACAGACATCATAAGGCCTTATTTTCTATGCATTATATGTATATACGTATAGAATGAAACACAACATACTTGGGAAACGTTTTCTAGTGAGTTGGGGGAAAATACATTTCAGTTAATCTTCAGCAAAGTTATTCTGAACTGCTCTCCCACCTTCACTTTGAGCTGTCTGTTTGGGAGGTCTGTGTAGAGCGCATCCCACTGCTGGACAGTCAGGCCCTTCAGAGCCAAGATGGCTTCAATCACCAGCATGTCAGAAACAGCGTCACCAGCTGCCTGCAAGGAGGAGAACCGGTGGAAGAAAGCACTCTGAACAGAAGCACATCCTGGATGTGAATGTTCCGTCTCAGAACGCTAGTCACGGTACAGGCCAAGCATGCCTCGCCTGAAATGCTCCCAAATCCAAGGCATTCTGAGTGCCAACATAACGTCCCAAGCGTAAAATTCCACACCTGACCGCCCATGACAGCCCAAACTAGGCACACAACAGCTAGGTGTGATGGTGTCAACACACAGTCCTGGCTGCTCAGGAGGCTGAGGCAGGACAACTGCTTGAGACCAGGACTTCAAGGCTGCAGTGCACTATGACTGTGCCCGTGAATAACCACCACACGGGGCCACCAAGTGAGACCCATCTCTCAAACGTAGACACAGGCCCGCAACACCGTTTTCTCAGCATCCCCAAGGGAAAAAGACCCAGCCTTCTTCAGCTGGAACGTATCCTTCCATGCACAGCAGATGTGCATGTCCTATTTTTTACTCTTAAGTACTAACGTGTGAGAGCACGACTGCCTCTCAGTAGCATAGAAATTCAAAGTCAGGAATGACAGTGATGCCATACCACAGCGTCATCCACATGGGTGGCTGAGACGGACACCTTTGCCTTCTGATGGTTCGATGTACACATACTGTTTCACACACCAAATTGTTTTCTAAAATTGTATAAAAAATTACCTTCAGGCTGTGTGCGCAACGTGTATGGGAAACATAAATGAACTTAGTGTTTAGACTTAAGTGCCATCCCCAAGATATCTCATTATGCATATGCAAATATTCCAAACCCTGAAAAAACGTGCAATCCAAAACACTCATGGTCCCAGTCACCTCAGAGGAGGAATGCTCCTTATGCTCACCCTTTCCCCTCATGCAGCATTAGTAACTGGATTGTGTTTGTGGATAAATAGATATGAAGGATGATGAGGTCAAGATACCCATGGAAGACAAAGGTACACAAAGGCGACGAAAATTAGCTCTTGAGAAACTTGCCTTTAGACTGATCCATAAAATGCAATAGACTGGATAACTGGAAGGCTCAGTCTAACAGTCTAAAACTCAAGCGTTTCTTTATACTAGATTCCTTTTAGTACCCCGCGACGACAGACGGCATCATGGTAAAATGGAGAGAGAGGAGCTTTGAAGTAAGATGCACCTGAAGACAGGACCACACTCTATCAATAAGTAGCTCTGAGCCTGTGTCTCTTCTTTTCTAAAATGGCGATTTTAACAAGCCCTGCTCCCTGTGTCACTGCAAGGGTTACACAGTAAGGTATATGAAGTGCCCAGCATGTACAAGGTGCTCTAACATTAGTTTCAGCACTTTTCCGAGTGTTGTTTTTCCAAAGCCATATGCTACACTCCAGTCTCAACTCTTCAACCTACGTGTGTCCTTTGGCAAGAGACAACCAGTTATTTTACTGAATTTCCTCAAGAAGGTTAGTTTAAAAAAACTTGGCTGATATGTATATACTCAATAGCTTCCAGGTAGAAGCTTTTCAGCACACTAGAAAACCTTCATCATAAAATGCAGGGGAAGGGAAGCACACATAAAATTCTGCCATTCCATTTCAGTGTAAATCTAACTGAATCTACACCACTGTTGTCAGGAAGCCACCAGGCTAGGCCTCCTTCACTTAAGTCTGTATGCAGTATACTCCGTTCTGTCCAGATCCGGAACAAAGTGACCAGGACACCACCCATCAGTTCTGACCTGGTTAAACAAGTCAATGATATTTCCAAGCATCTTAGCAGCTTTTCTCTTCTTATCTTCCAATTCTTCTGCTAATTGTTTTATCTTCATTTCCACAGCTGTACTAAACAGTGCCTGCAGCAAAAACACACAGTCAGTCTCCAAACACTAGCCAAGCTCCAGTCCCGAGGACTGCTATTCTAGCGAAACCACTTTTCCCGCATAGTCAATCTGGAGAAACTGAGGCGAAAAATAATGGTAGCTTTATGATGTATTCAATTAATACAAGAATTACTGGGGGAAAAGTTTCTTTGTGGATTATATAAGTGTTCATCAAAATTTAAACATCGGGTGACAGAGAACAGCACCTTGACAACCAGTGAACAGACATAACGAGTTCGTGTTTCCCTTCAGCCAGCTAAACCAGTGCTGCTGTGCAGCCAGGTTACATAGGGCCTGTCTCTGTCCTTTACTTTGAAGGATATCATTCACTGCAACGGGCAGAGCTTTACTGCTTTGAAGCTTCTGCAGGTATGAGCTAGGCAAAACCAGAGTGCGTCCATGTCAGCGTGGCAGGTGAGACCATCACTGCAACACACGCACATCGCGTTCCTCACACTTCTCCTGCTGTGTGGAAATGCCTTGCCCATCTTTTTACCGCCCTCAAGTTTTACCGCCTGATGCTGAAGAGGGTTAGCACGCTGGGCTCGACTACGAGATAAAATACACTTTTGTTATAAGGTGCACGCTGGTCACCTGTGTTTGTAAAGCTCTGCTGGAACACAGCCAGCCGTTCACTTAAGCTGTGCCACCAGGGTTGAGGAGCTGCAACATACGCCTGGTCGCCTGTAAAGCCTTAGAACCTTTACTGTGCGCCCTTTACAAAAATAATTCACCAACTCCTGCGTCAGATCACTGAAGTTATATTTTAATTGCATTTTGTGGGGACTCTGTTTTTCCCCTTATGTCCTCCAGAAGCCAACTGTGAAAGAGGAAAATGATTTGGCCTAGATTCAAATTTTTTGCTGGCCACCTCAAATCCACTTACTAAATGAGGTCACTAGAAAAACATTTTTTAACATTCTGAACTCTACAAATCTAAAATCCACTTCATTATATACTTTATCATGTATTTTTACGTAAAATGAATTTAACATTATGTGTATTATGTCTCAAACATTTTTCAAAAATTCTATCTGCTAAGAAAGCAATAAAAAACCTTTCATGTCATCACTAATGACTTTAAACTAATTTCCATTTCTTTGCAGTCTCAGCTTCCCAGCACTTATTCAGTTCATCACAGCAACTGAACTTTTTCCTTTTCCCACCAACGGCCAGTTGAGGAAAATGCACAATCACTTACAAGAATATTTAAAACTGCACATTTAAAAAACTATATTTTCAAAGAACAAACTAGTATATTTCTTCACAAAGAAGAATCACTACAATCCAAAAGAGAACCCCAGTTTCAAAGCCCATGAGGCTACAACGTGTGAGGTGACCACAGAGTCCTACTAGCGCCACCCGGTCGTCTCAACCCAGCGCAGGGTTCCCAAGTGGCCCCAGGTGCAGAAGCCCCATCAGAAAGGAGAGCGCCAGGCAAAACCAGCCGTGACTGTCCGAGACTTACAGTGCCGTGCCCGTTGGCTTCAAAGTAAACTCCAATGTCAAACTCTTGAGCCTTGTGGTGCAAGTGTTTTACACCCGTTTTCGTGCAATAGACAGGCACCTAAAATGGACGTTTAAAGAAAAACAACAGCTCTCAATCAGATGACAGATATCTCCGGTACACCCAGTATCCAGCGAACAAAACCCCCCGGCACTAGCCCGGTGAGGAAGCACTAAAATGCAAACTGCCAAGTGTCCAGTGCGGGGTAGAGACACTGTGGACAGCTCAGGGAACGGCGTCTCTTAGGGTGAGCGGCAGGGGTCTGCTCCCCAGATGAAAGCTCGCAAGTGGGCGCCTGACACAGCCTGACGAGTTAAGAAAGCTGCCTCCAGCCAGTGTGGAGAGTGGCTTGGGCAGGCGACCGGCCAGCTTCTTCTGTAAAGGTCCACGCAATCAGTACTTTAGCTGTGCAGACCAGGTCCATCTGGCTAGTCACTCTGCCACTGCAAAGCAGCCACGACGGCGCATGACTCCGGTAAAACTTGAACAGTGGCAAGCTGAATTCGAAGGCGAAGAGACGGAATCGGCGGAGAGGTCTCTGGGGCTAGCCCTACTCAGACGTCATGGGGGCTGCGGCAACAACGGCGGTTCGAGAGAAAGCCACGGGCGGGTGGACCTGAGAAAGACTTCGGCTGGTTCAGGGGAGACGGGGGCGACACCGCAAGGGGATCAAGAAAGCGCGTTGGTTTGGGTCTCGGAGGCCGCAGCGATGGCAAGGGCGAAAACATGTCATCTTCGGGAGGGTGAGAGGTGACACCTGTGAGGTGTTCAGTTTCATTCCCGGGACCTGCCCCGCACTAAATTCTTCACCGAAGCGTCAGCCGAAATACTGACAGAACCACCCCAGTGCTGCGAGATGACCCGAGCCCCGGGACAGGCGGGCAGGTGGGCCCGACGGACCCCCTGAGCTAGTCCACCCGGGACCCTGCAGCGGTCACGGGCGCCC